GGGTTTAAGTTCTTGGGCCGTGTAGGCTGTAAGGGGTTAGGGCTTGTAGGGCTTAGGGCATTTAGGGTTTAAGTTCTTTCGCCATGTAGGTTTTAGGGGGAGGGTTTCAGTTCTGGTTCGTTGTAGGTTTTTGGGATTCTGGTGCTGTCGAAGTACCAGAAGGTGCTGCAAAAGTACCTAGATTTTTTCGGAATTTCACAAGGGCTTCAGACGGCTTCAGACTCCCGTTTACGAACAGCTTCCGGAACGATAGCAAGCAGTTCTCTCGTCGTTTCGCTCGAAGCAATCGCACATTACCGCACATTATGGTCGAATTCCAAGTCTACCCTAGGCCCAGATCCATGCACCGACACTCCTAGACCCCGAACCCCAAAATCCCAAGCCTACTAATACGAACCTCTGGAAAGCTCGAACCAGAAGGTACTTTTGCAGCACCTAGGGCAGGTACTTCAGCAGCACCAGACGGTCCTAGACCCCGAGCCCGAGAATCCCAAGCCCATTCAGACGAACCCCCAAAGCTGGAACCACGTAGGTACTTTTGCAGCACCTAGAGCAGGTACTTCAGCAGCACCAGAAGGTCCTAGACGCCAAAGCCTAAAACCCGAATCAACAACAAGACGAGCCAAACCCGAAACTAGTGGCACGTAAGCGAAACCAGATCAGTGTTCAAGTTTGGCGAGAATTTTAGGCTTCTAGAAGTTTAGAGCTTCCATATAATTTCCGGATTAACACATGTATGATGTAGCTGATGACATGCATTTCAGGAAATATTGTAATGATCGCTTCGGGTCTGTGTTACGAGAAAGCCAGTCAGATCTGCCACATAATGGAACGAATGTCGCGACAAAAACCAACCCCTGCAGCAGGACATAGCGCGAGCTCGCCTGAAGTCTTCTGGCACAGTGCCAGAGGTCGCTCGCCTGCAACGCAAGGCCACGACTTGCTGGTTTTAGCCAAGGGGATTAGCAGTTGACGATATTCGGAATAAAGTGTGACAACTACGGATATCAATCAGTAGCTCACAGCATGAATCAGTAGCCGGCTTTTGCAAACCCTATGCACGCATCTTTGGGGTGCTAGCATCCTACTACTTATTGCAAGTTTGCTCTGGGAACTACTTATAGCCTAGGCAATAAGTAGTCAAACAAGGCAGCGTGATTCCTTATCTCATTGGGCCTTTGAAGTCATCATCCCGCTCCGTTAGCGGCTGTCGCTGCTGAGACCTGTGCTGAACGAGGCTGTATAGGTTCTAAAGGCAAAATGTCGGAAGGAGTTCCACGTTTCTGGTTCGCAAGTCGCAACTCGGACTCCTGTCGAATAGTATCGCACGCAGAAATCATCAACACGATCCTACACTAGCTTATTTCATGTAGCCTGCTTGCTTCTCGCTATGGTGTTCCGATATAGTCAACCTTGCGGGGAGTTTTTGAAAGATGTACCTGATTATGCCGCGCTCCAGCACGACAACCATTCGCGACAGCCTTTGGAAACGACTGAAGCAAATCTGGCCCGGCTGGTCCAGAGTCTTCAGCTTAATCACTGCATGCTGGAGTCTACTTGCACGGACGGCAACTGTGGATTGGATGCAATCATAAGCAACTTGAAGCGCCTTGACTTGACGGAGCCTGCGCTGGCCCAGAAAGTACAGACGGTGTTGAACAAGAAGGACTTAAGTAGTGCATGCCAGGTTCTTCGGTTGGGACTTCTTGTTTGGATCAGGGACAACGAGCACCAGGAGATTTTGCCTGACGTAACATTGCTGGATTGGATGAGAATGGAAGGATACGACGGCAAAGCTGATTATATCAAGGCAATGAGACAAAATGGTGAGTGGATTGACACACTCATGCTATTTGCAGCCTCGACTGTTTTTCGGGCACAACTACTGGTTTTCCTGGAAGATGGCTCATCTCACGTCCTAGCTGCTCCAGAAGTACAGGCGATGGCCTCCAGCCCAATCTTCTTATTGGGAAATATAGGCAACTTGCACTTCTATGCTGTTCGTCCGCTACCAACGGAGGAGGCAGATCCATTGACTGCTGGGAGAACCCAACCAGATTTGTTGCGCGAAAACTGCCCAGCTCAAGATGACTCTGGCTCCGAGGTCGAGGAAAACGAGGGGGCGCAGCCGGCACCTGCGCGGCAGGAGTCGCTCTTTCGGCTTGCTGCCGCTCTCATGGATTGGAATCCGTGGGATGCGAGCAGTTCCAGTGACCTGCCAAATCTTTGCGACGAGTTCGAATCCTCGGGTCCGGGGGATGTTCTGTCGAAGTCGCTGACATGCCGCAGTGCACTTAAGCTGCTTCAACACGAAGCAGCGGACGCAGAGGCGGGGATCGATCGGAGCTACGCACTTGTCATTGCGAAGAATCATCTGAACCGCTGGCGTGGCCGCTGTACCTTCGACAAGTCGCGGACGCTTTCCGCGAAGCTGTGTGTGGCAGGAATTCAGCGGTCACTGGCGCGAAATTGTCAACAGCACTCGAAGCGGCACACTTGTTTGGAGACTGTTCGGAAACACCCGACAATTGTGCTAAAGTGGCGCAAACTCTTCTACGCACTTCCAAAGGCAGATAGGGAGGAGAGGCTGCGCAACATGTTTTTGCAATCGAAGCAGGCGCATGATGCAGAGGACCCTGACTTTCGAACCGAGTACAGTGTGCTGGGGATGAAGGTATGCCGCAATGCTTTCATAAGTATAACTGGTATTCACGCTGACACGCTGCAGCGTGTGCGAAGTTCTGTTGCGCAAGGGGCTGTCCACGGCTGCAACATGGGAGTTTGGAGAGCAAGACGCGCCCCGGCCTATTTGGACTGCCGGGCTTGGCTCATAGATTATGCAAGACAACATGCTGACACTAGCCCTTTGAACGACCAGCTTTGGCTTCCATATGCTCGCAAGCAGTTTTTTTGGGCTGCCTACCTTCGTGACTGCACCTTGGCATGAACTTGTATGTGTTTCTTCATAAGACATATCACATCTTTTTACACACGGTCGAGTTTCGAGAGTGTTCTTGGCAAGGTCGAAACAAGCAGAAACCGGCTGATCAAATAGCTGGCCTCAAGTATTTTCTGAAGATGTGGCGGACGGAGCTGCCGTGGATAAAACGTCGACCAAGCGCCGGCCCCTTCACCCACTGCGGTCTCTGCGACTACTTGAAATGGATGATGCAACAGAGCCGTGACAAAGCGGCTCGGGAGAGCGTGGCCGAAATCTTGGGCGAGCACTTTGAGTTCCAAGCGGCCCAAAGGGCCTTCATGTCACAGGTGTTCCAGGAGAGTGTATCAGACCCGTCAGAGGTGCTTGCTGTGTCCTGGGACAAGATGGATCAAGCAAAAACGATCGTCCCTCGCATTGTCGCTTTGAGCAATACGCAGTTTATGAAAGGCGGCTCCCGCCTGGTGGTCTCCTTGATTGGGGTCCTAGCGCCGGCCATCCTGAAGCGCCCGTTGTTGTATACGATCTTGGAGGACCAAGTGCACGGCGCGGATATGATTGCAAGCCTGATGCTAGACGTCCTGCAAGAGTCTACTGAAGTCATGGGCCAGCTGCCCCGGCGCTTGTTTATTCAAGCAGACAATACGATCAAAGAGACAAAAAACACGATAGCTTTGTATGCAGCGGCCTGGCTGTTGGTGCAGTTGCGCGGCACGCGCTTGCAATGCATAGAGTTCGGCTATTTGGTTGTAGGGCATACTCACGACCTCATCGACGCCATGTTTGCGTATGTCTCTAAGGCATTGGCAGGCCAGGACTTCTTGAGTCTTCATGAAATGATGAATGTGCTGAGAAACAAAATGACGACGCCACCAATCTGGAA